CTCTGTATCTATGAAGCGCCTTGAGGCGACATTTGTTGTGATTTGGCGCTATATAAATAAAATTGAATTGAATTGAATTGAAACCTGTAGGCCAACAGACCTAAAGAGCCCCTCCTCATGCAGCCTCTAAATTAACAAAGTTCAAAGACCAGAGTTCTTATTCTTTCACTTAGTCACAGCCACAAAAGACCCAAATTCAACTCTAACTGCTCAGTTCCTTCCAACATGAGCCTTAGACAATTAAACTTTCAAGATAAAAGGACTTAATTCACTCAAGCCTCCACCGATCCAGTAAAAGCTTCTACAGGACAATAATCCAAAGCAGAGTTCACGACACAACATGGCCTATTAAACAAAACAGAAGTTCTCACTTCAGCATCATTAAAATCCAGCCACACATGTTCAAACATGCTATCCAAGCAAGTTTAAAGTATCTTAGAACTTGAAGTGATTGAACAAAATTGTCTGAAATTACCTTAATCAAGACTACAAACTCTCTCAGCTGAATACAAAAGAGCATTTGCTAAAAAGCAAGCTCTTAAGCACCGACTTTGTATGGTTAATGCCTGTTTGCTGGATGGCTTGTGTTTATTTCCAACTTTAAAAACCAAAAGGATATTTTGCCAAGTGGTGCTGAAAACACTCCCACAGAACTGTAAGTATGCACTGATTTCAATACGAGTATCAAAACAAAACGTAAACACTAAGAATAAGACAATTTAATCAGGTAGCAGCATTAAACTGTCACGTTTTAGAACTGCACTAACCGTACTGAACTCGGTGACCGCTCACATACAGTAAATGTTCACTGCTCGTGTCCTACTTTGAGCTACACAAACCCACTTGTTCTGAGGGTCAGCCATAAAGCCTGACCTCATCACCAGCTGCAGACACTACTGTTGGTGGTAATGGAAAGCGAGGAGGGCAGATATGCTTTCTCTGCCATCAGTCTCTCTGTCTCTTTGTTTGTGCTTTGGCGGTGTGACGTGTTGCCGGAGGGGAGGAGGAGGAGGGATGGACAGTCACAGAGGAGTGCTGTGAAATCCAGACTTTGGTTAATGAACAGAGGAGAACTGCCAAGTCACTGGGATGAGTTCACCTTATCTCATAATCACTCTCTCTTCTCCCCCCAACTTCTGTCTCCATTCGGCATCCACATATTTATCTTCTTTTGTCTCCGTCCTTCTGTTGCTCTCTTTCTTTCCCTTGTTATTTGTTGCATCGTGGTCTGTTACCCTTGTTTAAGTCTTTTTCTCTGTACCTGCCTTGCTTTATGCTTATGTTCTGTTTTTGTTTTCCTTTGCCCTGCTCCTCTTTATCCTGCATGCCATGAATCTCTGCACATTTGCAGCCTCTGGGATAAGAACAACAACCCGGAGCCCTGGAGCAAGCTCGACCC